TGTGTGTGTGTGTGTATGTACGTGTGTGTGTGTGTATGTGTGTGTGTGTGTGTGTGTGTGTGTGTGTGTGTGTTAAGTTTATTGGTGGCATATCATGTGTGTGGTGTGTGTGTGTGTGTGTGAGTGTGTGTGTGTGTGTGTGTGTGTGGTGTGTGTGTGTGTGTGTGTGGTGTGTGTGTGTGTGTGTGTGTGTGTGTGTGTGTGTGTGTGTGTGTGTGTGTGTGTGTGTGTGTGTGTGTGTGTGTGTGTGTGTGTGTGTGTGTGTGTGTGTGTGTGTGTGTGTGTGTGTGTGTGTGGTGTGTGTGTGTGTGTGTGTGTGTGTGTGTGTGTGTGTGTGTGTGTGTTAGGTTTATTGTTGGCAAATCATGTGTGTGTGTGTGTGTGTGTGTGTGTGTGTGTGTGTGTGTGTGTGTGTGTGTGTGTGTGTGTGTGTGTGTGTGTGTGTGATTTGTGTGTGTGTGTGTGTGTGTGTGTGTGTGTGTGTGTGTGTGTGTGTGTGTGTGTGTGTGACTGTGACAAGGCCTGAAGGCCTCCCTTTTCTTATTAACAACGAAGGCGCTCTCAAAAAATCTGCACAACCAAACTATTTGCAAGAGACCGAGTAATAGTTTGGGACGGACGCGTTCGGTGCAAAAAGAACTAAAAATAAGAGCCAGTACTTGGGTACGGTACCATGGCATCGCTTACTGCTTGGGGGCCGCTCGGCTGCTGGTCTGAGCCGATCCCCGGTTCCTCGCCCGGGCCCAACGACGGGAACCGTCCCGAGTTTAGCAGCTCCATCGAGGCATGCCGTGGCTGGTGCACTCAGATGGCCGAATGCAGGGCCATCATCTTTCGTCTCAACAGAGCATGCTACCGCCTCGACCGGTACTACGAAAGCCACTACGACCCCACCCGCACAGCACTGCAGGTGAGCAACTACGTGGCTGGAGCAGCATGCACACTGCCACCGATAGCTGCGAACGTCTCTCAGGCACACGCATCGCAGCAGAGTCTGCCGCCGCCGCCGCCGCCTTCACCATCAGCACCACCGCCGCCGTCGCCATCTAGCCTGGCCACGCTCGTCGGCTGCTGGTCTGAGCCGATCCCCGGTTCCTCGCCCGGGCCCAACGACGGGAACCGTCCCGAGTTTAGCAGCTCCATCGAGGCATGCCGTGGCTGGTGCACTCAGATGGCCGAATGCAGAGCCATCATCTTTCGTCTCAACAGAGCATGCTACCGCCTCGACCGGTACTACGAAAGCCACTACGACCCCACCCGCACAGCACTGCAGGTGAGCAACTACGTGGGTTGCACGGACGCACGGGGACGCATGTCTACATAGTACGCACTCTATTGATAGGGAGGCATGGAGTTTTCCTGCAAGGCTGCGAGGGTGCTTGTGGAGAGGTCCTCGTCAGGTGTTTGTCGAGTACGTGTGGCCGCACTTCTCGCACTCGTAAAAAACCGTCTGCCCCTCGTCGGCGCTGCGCAGCTGCATCGTGTAGTACTGCAGCTCCGGGTGGGCGCACTGAGGGCACGCCTCCTTGACGACCGCGCGAGCTCGCTTCGCCTGCGCATGCGGGAGGGGGCTCGAGCAGGGAGGCGGAGCAGCGGGCGGGAGGCCTCCGGGTCAGCCACACCTTGCGGCGCAGGCTGTGGGGTCTGGCCGTGACGAGCGGCGGTGGGCCGGCCGCCCGGCTGGTGGTGCGATGGCCGTGCGAGGGTGCGTGGCCGCGTCCGTGTCGCGTGCGTGGGACGCTACTGGCGGTGGAACGGAGGTGTCTGCCTGCACGCCGCCACGAGCGAGGTTGGCGCCGAGGACGTGGTCCTTGCCGGCTGTGGTCACGACAAGCGCCTCGAACTCCGCCGCGTCCACCCCTGCCCCGCATAGATGGCACTCGACGCTGGTGCCCGTCTGCGTTGGCTCACGCAGCAGGGCGCCGCAGCAGTCGCAAAACATGGCTCGGCGCGCACACCGCTTGGGCGGCGCAACGAGGCGAGCAAGCGGCGGCGCGGCGGACAGGGCGGCGGACGGGGCAGCGGACGGCGCGCCCGCTGGCTGGTCACGTGCAGCGGTGAGCAGCCGCGAAATCTCGTGCTTCCGCTCCTTGAGTGCGCCCGACTTGAGGCCGAGGCGCGACTCGAGGCGCGTGCGCAGGCTCTTGGTGGAGAGCGAGTCGAGAGGTGTCGAGGCGAGCACCGCCTGGACGTGAGCCTCCAGCGCGATCATCGCTCGTGGCGAACCGTATGCGGCGAACGTATGCGGCTACGTATGCCCTGGGAGTCCCGGTAGAGCGGCAAGAAGAAGAAAAAGAAGCCGCGAAATTGCGTACTTACGTGTCTATGGAGCCACACTCCAGGCTCACCTGGTACAGCAGCAGCCCGTCCCAGTACGCGGCGAGCCACCACTGCGCGCGCGTCGCCAGGCTCTGCTCGGCGCGCACGCGGCCCGCGACCGCCTCGGGCACCGGCCCGCGCCGCAGGCGAAGGCCCGCGGCGGCGGCCTGCCGCTCGAAGCGGCCGAGCGAGGCGTCGAGCGAGGTGCTCTCGTGCGCCACGCCGGCGATGTGCGAGAGGGCGGACACGGCGCCGCCGGAGAAGCGGTTGACCAGGAGGAGGGTCACCTGTCTGCAGCGCTGCAGGTGTGAAGAGACGTCGTTCACGCGCGAGGGAGCCGCAACGAGGGGCGCGCGGAGGCGGCGTCGTCCGCCTGCAGCTGCGGCTGCGCCTCGAGCAGCGCTCGCAGCGTCGCCACGAACTCGCCGCCGCACTCCTCGCCCACGCCCGCCGCGCCCCCTGAGTAGACGACGTCGGCGCCGAGCACGTGCGTCAGGCGAGAGGGCGCGACCAGCGGCAGCGAGCGAGCAGCGTCTGCAGCGGACGCGTCCCACCGCGCCACGCCGATGGAGCCGTCCGGCGGCTGCTCGCCCTCGCCCGCCACGCGGAGGCCGTGGGAGAGGGCATTGGCGGCGAGGTTGGCGAGGCTGTCGGAGCAGATGTCGGTCGCAACTATCGCAGTCGGCGCGGAGGAGGCGGAGGAGGCCTCCGCTGCGCCGTGCTCCTCGGCGCGCTCCGCCTGCAGCGCCAGCGCGAGGCCGATCGCCGCGGTGCCGATCCCGGACCCGATCTCCAGCACGGTGGCGCCTCGGGCCGGAATAGGGGACAGCGCTGTCGTGCCGTCGCCCTCCAGCGCGAGCTGGAGCAGCACACGGCCGGCGGGCCAATCCATCGCGCCGATCGGCGGCGGTCGCGTGCGAGCGCTGAGCGAGAGCGCCACCGGCGACTTCAGGTTCGGTGCGCTCACTCGGTGGCACGCGACTCGCCACTGCCGGAGGTCGAGCACCTCGTCGAGCGTGTAGAGAGCAAAGGCTGTGCCAACGCCGAGGTAGCTGGCGATGGCGGTGCGGTGGGACATATACGTGCACACGTGTATCTAAAGATATATGGGCCTCGCGTCGTCCGCCGCTTATCCCGTGACCTGCGGAATTCGCGATACCGAGGAGTCTCGAGCT